ATCAAATGGCCTGAACGACAACAAAAGGCAAAAATGGCACGGAACGTGTTAAAGAGTGAACATTGTGTATCATGGCTAGAATAAACATTCAGAGATGAGGAACTGCGCATGATGAATATAATTCGTGAAAGCGTATAAATATTTTGTGCAACGTTTAACTAGGTAAAATCATGTTAAGTTTCACTTAACATACATTTATAAAAACTGTGAGTGTGCACAAATATTCACAGTTTAATCATAATAGATATTTTCAGATATTTATTTCATTTAATAACTTTTGAAATTTCCGTAGAAATTCACAAATCATAGTGGAAAGATATTTTAACTCTAATTAATTTGTTTGACAACCGAACAGTTGTCATAAGATCAAGCAATTTTAGATTTCAAAAATTTTCTTCTTTTAAATTTTTAAGATTTTACGTGAAAGATTGATTCCTCTGAATACTTACAAGTTTACTCTACTTTCGTTGTCGGTTGTTTTAATATTAAATGGACATTAAAATATACGATACGTAAACGAAAATTCAATGGCGAATTTGAATCAACGAAATTTCAAGACGAAAGACGAAAGTTGAGGCTCACAGATCGCTTTAACAACGTTCTTTCATTTTTTTTTTTCTGTTTTCACCAATAAATTCTCTACTACGTCTCTTTGTTTCAAAATCTCGCTTTATCATTCGTAAGAATTTTCGGATCAACTGAACTGAGAAAAAGCTGTCTATAGGGAACTTTGCCAGAGATATATTGGCCGAGAATAGTGGACGTTGGTCCAGATACATGCACGAAAAAAACAATTACGACGCGATTCAGGAATCAGTCATGCGCGTTCAAAAGTGTTTGTCGTAGTTTTCGAGGCCAATTTTTCGTCCTTTTTCCCGTCATTCGCGTAACTTCCACGAATTTCTACGAGCAACAATCATGCAAAATGAACATTTGGTTGGCGGCGGAACTTTCGAAATCACGTTACAAGATATATATATATATATATTGAGAAATGCTTAAAATTCTATTTACCATTCCAAGCTGAGTTAATTTAACGACTCTGCACAAACCTTCGTGTTTTATGCGAAGGTACATTGAAAATTTTCACAAAACACATTGAAAGTGCAATATCTTTGGAAAATGTTTGAAAAAGGGAGCTGCTCTTTCAGGTGAAAAATGCCAATTCTCTAAAAGTTAAAGAAATCGAGTTCAAGTAGATATTCGTTTTATAATGAATGATACAAGCGTGAGAAAGATAGAAATTTGTTTCAATAATTTTGGCATTTTATTTATCTTATCCCGTGTATCATGTACCTTCAATGTATCTCCGCATAAAAATTCGATCAATCTACGTTGCCATCCTTCTGTACTTTCCAATATCAATTTCCGAGTCGATCGGTTTATCGTTTAAGTGGCTAATTAAACGAGAAATAAAATGGTACTTCTGCCGAGGGAAGTGGAGCTCGCGGCATTCGATGAAAGCTCGGCCAGCAAATAATCCCACCGAACGTACATTCGTTTTCATCCGTGAAACCACGTCGACCACTGGCGATCGTCTGGCTCAGATAGCGATACTTTGCCTGTATAATTTTGGCGAACATCGGCCACCGATAATTGCACTGCTCCTGGAAGAGAAGATTCTTGTACGTAAATGTACAAAAAAATAAATGTACCTCCCACTTTTATCTCTTCATCGACTTAACCAGGTACTTACATCTTTCTTATATCTTTGTAATTGGCCATAATGATCGATGCATCATCAGCGTTTCACGTTAACGCGTGGCAAACGTCGCGTCGTATCGGGACAATGATCGATCTGTGCGGAGGATATTTGAACGCGGATGTACTTACGATTTATGAATCCTCGGAGCGTAGAGGATGTTTCACAACGTGTGGGACGATAAACACGAGAACAAGATACTTTGATGTGCCTCTTTTTTCTTTCTTTCTTTCTTTTTTTTTTTTTTTTCTTTTAAATCGCATTTGAAAGTATTCGAACACCTTAAGGAAAACTACGTATACAGAATTCAATTCCATTATTTACTTTCTTTAGATTGTTTCTAAATTTTCAAAGCCAAAGCCTTACGTTTGTACAACACATTATCTTTATTTACGTATCAATTACGGGATGAAATGCTGATTGTCAAGGCAATTATTAAAGTAAAAGGAAATTTTGTATATACTCTGTGTGCAAGATTCCTTTGTTCGTCGCTAGCTGTTGCTTCCACACGTTATGGAAGCTCCTGTAAACGCTCGACTTTCGATGATTTATTCACTTCGTGAAACCAGTTTCAGTATCGACCTATCGGCGATCTTCTTCGCTTGATAATGTAATAACACCCCGAATGCCTATGATAATCTAGTGTAACATCGTTTTTCACCGGCGATCACCCATGGTGTGCCTTCTTCCTCCGCAGAAGTTCATTCCGTAGTCCGGTCACGCATTCTCCAATCTGTTCCAGCTTGATCGTTCTTAATCGCGATTAATTGCTCGTCGCTAGTCCACTGATTATCCGAGCAGTCTCGCTCGTGATACCGTTAATCGTTTCAACACCGTATTCGTTCATCATAAATTTCATTTGCGCGTCCTCTGTGGCAATTTTGCAACACGAGGTTGTTCTCCTGTTTCTTTTGGTATGTCCTATTACGCATTGAAATGAAGGTGTGTTCTTTGTTCCGATTTTAAAATAAAAATATACACGCTCGCACGTAGAAAATTTGCAACTCTCTCTCTCTCTCTCTCTCACGGCTTTGGAGTATTATTTTCTTAACGAACTCTTTGTCACTTTTTCTACTAGTTTTTTTTCTTTTTAATTTTTTGTTAACGACGCGTTAAAAATTGCAACTGCAACTGATCTCGCTTCAGTGTCCAGGTGAAAAGCTCTAGAAAGCAAATGACTTGATCTGAAGTCTGTAAAACTACTGCAGAAAATTACTTTGCCAGTTCTAATGTTAGAATGGCCTTGTAAATTGGTTTCAAGGTTGTAAGTAAAAATTTCTAAATTGATATACCACGAGTCTGGCCTTGCGATCGAATATAAACCTTCGTGAAGGCATCGCCCATTCGTTCAAAACTGTTCCGGTTCCTTTACTCGGGCGTGATGGGTTACGGTTACGGTGTGCTCGTTTCGAGAAAAACGAGCAAAGCAACGGTCTGTTTTTATTCGATTCACCGCGTGTGTCGAGGAACTAATTGAAACCGGCTTGCTACTGGCCACCAAGGTAGGAAACGATCGAAAAGCGAAATGAAATTAGGGGCTGTTGGAAAAAGTCGGCTGTTTATTTCTCAATTAAAATCGCCGACGTGTCTCGATGAAATCACGCCGTGCAAAGATCGTTGTTCTTTTATCGTTATTATCTGTTACCGAGTGTATAATCTATTCAACTTGTACGTTGTTATTCTCAAGAGAGTGGCAAAGTATTCTTTGAGAAATTGTCATGTAATTTTTGGGAAAACTGTGAATGTAGAATACTTATGACATATACTTTTAATCTATTAAACATTGTATTAAAGTATAAATATTAAGTTAAATGTATTTAGTACAAATATTATATTTTTACCAATGTATGCTTATTTCACAATCGTACAATTATCTTCCTCTTGAAATTTAAATAAATTCGTCACAGTCTTTCGAAAATTAAATAACCAATTTGCTCATAGAATTTGCTCAAAGTGCAAGAAATTGATCAAACATTCTGAAGTACTTATTTTCACACTATTAAAAAATATGAGGATTGAACAACTAGAGTTTGTTCGTGAAATTTTCACGATATAAGGAATTTTTATTATACGAAAGATAGCGAATCGATTCAGAAAAGGTTGGGAAACACTGAAATCTGCGTTAGTCGAATAAACGCGTATCTATTGAACGTGTCTGAGTTCAACGTCAACCCGCGTCAATGGCCAGTGATTTGTCAGTTTTACAGTTATATTAGAATTTATACTGGTTGTCTACTTTCGCTGAGTTTCTTTCGATTCGAGTCAGCTTCATCATAAAACGCGAACGTTGTTGCACGTTTATATGTCGC